ATATCATACGTCTAAGAAAATACATATATATGTATATATATAAATTAAGTTGCTCAGTAATAAACGTGGCGACCATTAATTCCTTGATCCAAGACAAAGCTACTTTGTAACAAAGGGACATTTTACGACACTTTTTTTGGCCTTCGAGATGATCTGGTACTTGGTGAATTTTGAGATCGTTGACTGGTATGTTGTCACTCGGTCTTTTAGGAGATGAACCGCAGTGAGCCACGAAAAATCAGGAGATTCGAGTAGGTCCACGAATATGAGTTTCATTTTAAAGAAAAAGACCGTCGTATTCTGTGCAGGTTTTGTACTAGAAATACCGTAAGGTGTTAGTTTCTTTTTTTTCTTCGTAGTATCTTTCAAAGATCATCTTGAATTCGAAAATGAGTCTCGTAAAACAGTGCATTTCCAAGTGAATAATGAGAATAAGTTTAGAGTTGTGGTAGATGCCGACCTATCTCAAAATATATGGCTAATAGTACTCAAATTCGGTGTACATGAAGCTACCATATTTGCAAAGATTAATAAAATGAAAAAAATTAGACAAATGAGTGCCGCAGGATTTCAGTAATGGTGAAAGGCAGAGATATGGAAACGCTTGCTCTTCTTTACTCTCATGTTATAACAGCGAGCCATTCCTTCACCGAATTGTGATTTCTGATGAAAATAGTTCATTTAGGGTAATCGAAGGTGGTTGCTTCAGCCGGTCGATGCGACTAGACCGACAAGACATCATTCCAGAGCAAATATACAGCTGAGAAAATATGTTGGGTATGTTTGGAAGTCTAATCCAAATGAGATCCACTACAGCGCTATAAGCCCTGTTTTGCCGATCACAACCCCGCATTAGGCAGGCAAGGTCAGTGAACGGAGATAAACACTTCCTGTTAGACCTCACATGGCGGGAATGATGGCGATAGAAATGCAGAAGCTAAAGTTGGAAGCTCTGTGCCATCCGTAATACTCGTTAGGAAATTGCTCTTACAAATAACTATTTTTTAAATCTTGGCGACTTCCTAAATCAACATGATGTCAAAACTCTCTTCGAAGATCTCATAGATTTCATATAGTATATACCATGGGTGAATTTAATGAACGACGCATAATAGCTAAATTAACATTTATAGTATATATTTTAATAAAATATTAGGACTCAGTTTGACAACTAGGCATAGAAACCGTAATGATTATCATTAAATGCAGTTTTTATGTTTTATGTTCTAAGTTCAGTATAATTGCCTTACTTACTACGGTAGCTGTTGCAGCAGCTATAGCTGGTAGCTGGAACAGCATGGGCAGGTAAGAATGCCGGTGCAGTGTACACAAGCTGGGCAGAGACCGAGGACACCAAAAGGCAGCCACCCATAATGGAACCGAAGGTTTCGAAATTAATCATGTTCACTTAAATATAATACAAAAACAAAATGACTATTAGTCATCGCTTTTAGAGACATGGTAGCTTTCAATGAAGCAAACATCCTGATTTTCCAATCATAGTTATGAGTACAAGAAGGCATTAAACAACTTCCATTAAAAAATTGACGTTGCCTTAAACTCTGAAATAAGTAAAACGTGTACATTTATAGGTAAATTTCTACAATATGGAAAGAGCTGTAACCGTTTCGGTATCTTTAGGGAGCTGACGTTGCTCGGCGTGAAAAAGCTCCGAGTGAAATGGCGCGCGCGCGCGCCTGGGGACATTTGGGTTTAGGACAGAGGGCAGTTCAGAGAACGGGTTATCTATGACATAGGCCAAGGGGAGACAGTCACTCGTTAGCGACAATAGCTACTAAATTTAAAACAGAAACGATGGAACGCTGGAGCTGTTAGATATGACTGGAAAAAATCAAGAGATCTTCTCAGCAAGGTTCGAAAATTATCATAAAACCATAGGCATACTGAAACTCATTGATATGTTTGCATCTGATTTTTTTTCTGCTGGAGATTTCTAAATTAGCAAGTCTACTTACCAAAGCAATGGCCTCCAACTGTTTCTTCCCTAAGCCAGGTCTGGGTTTAGCCGAACTATACCCACAACAACCGCTATTGGATGCTGCTGTCACCAAACGAGAATTGACAAGACTAAGCTAAAATTGGCACCTTCTACAGAAAATATATGTGCAAAAGTTTGTATTGTGATTTGCCTTGTCGGATGTAGAAGTGTTTGAATGGGGCCATAGCGATTCATATAAACAGAAACATTATGCCCGAAATCAAAGCAAAAAAACTCTTCGTTCAATTTGAAGTGCTGTCGTTAGATTTTTGTATTACGTGAAGAATTGTCACAGTCGTGGAAGCTTCCCCATATTTTCTATCATAAAAAGATATAGTTTGTTGATATTATCTTACATGTGAATATATGCTGATAAGAAATATAGATACATACGTATAATTCGCTTTGCGCACTACTTCCTAATGCTGGTAAGACAGAGCAATTTTTTGAAGATTAGTCGACCTGACTATAGAGAGTTCCATAGAATTCTTCCTCGCCGGCCAGTTAATTTCCTCGTACACTAACCTATAATTTTACGACCACAGAAAGAAAAATGTTAGTTATATGCGCTAATCATGACCACAAAAACCTAATTATCAATGGTCGACATTACTTAGCACAGGTCCTACATATAGAGAACGGGAGTAGCTTATTCCGTTCATAATACTGCCAGATTTAAACATCGCTATAATAAGCTTCATTGCCAAAGCCATGAATTGTTTGCTAGAGAGTTAAGTGTCAAGTAGAATGCCCCTAAACGTAGCTCGACTTCAGTTGTCGCCAATAGTTATGGTTTTAATGGTACATCGTGACACCTGAGGCAAACACGTCCTTCCAAGAGAGTACAGAACACATTGAAAGCTCACGATTGCGATATGAAGTGCCCGAACGTAGCTTGTGTCGTTTAACGTGACTAGTTCGGTCTGTTCAAATATACTGCTATAAATAAAGAGCCGCTTGTGAAGGTCGGAGCCGTTGTTAAAGCAACGAAAGACATTTGTGTTCATTTCGGTGTTAGTTTGTGAAACGAGTGCAAATTGTGCAATTTTATCGAATGGGTAAAGTGTCCGAAGTCTTAGGACGAATCAGGTAGAGTGTCCTATACCAGATTTGATCCGGCGTATGATGTAGATGATCGATGCTTTATGATGTATTGCATGTGTATTTTCTGTAGTAGGAAAACCTTGAAAATCGCCATAAGAACACAACAAGATAAGTCGGTAAGGTTTGATTGGGGGTCGATGATAAATTATTATCATACAAAATTTGCCTGAAGCTAGACAGTTAGCGGATATAGCTAGACAAGGAGAGTTATACCAGTTGTTGACTAAGGTGATTTTTGCAAAAGAATAAAAAAATATTCCAAAGCACCAAAAGCAACAGGGGTTATAGTCGAATATAGGAATCTGTTTTCTTTAAGAGATTTTTTAGTTCTTATATATCGTTTGTTTCAATTCTATCACGTTCCAGGGTTAATCATTAAAGAAGGCATGGGTTACTCAATCATCGGGTGGTCTTTTAAGGAGAAAATGTGCCCATAATCTATAACCGCGCTTGCGGAGACCTAAGCCCACGGACAGTATGTGCAATGTTAGTAAATAAATTTTTACGTCTGAAACATTACGATTATAATTGCTGTTGCTATACTCATAACAATGTTTGCGTTTATAATTAGTTACTCTGTTTAAGCATCCGTTTCGTAAAAAAAATACCTAAGTACTATCGAAAGCTCAGCACCCAAGTGGGAATTTGGGTTTGAGAGAGCACCAAGGGATCGGTACGATCTTTTTATGCTTGTGTCTCTAGAATTTTTGCTAGATTGAATAACGTTTTTGTTTTAAATGCGCCCAGTTTTACTAAATATCCTTAACAGAAGCCTTCAGAAGTACAAGTGCAGTATCTCCTCAACCAATGCTGCCATAAACTTTATAAAATTACGTAAATTTACTGTCTAACTTCTTTTGGGTTTCCAGTGTTATCCATAGAGCATTCTTTGTTACATGATTAATATATATTTTGTTTATAGAGTCCATATTTTAAGGGAGGCGATGATGACGCGCCGCGTCATAGAACCGAGCTACATTTCCTAACTTCTTGATCAAATCGTTTATTTATTTTATAGTTCAACTACTATTTTTCCATAATTTTCAAATTTTGTTGGTCTTTAGTGAGGCTGCGACGATATCGCTCTTTAAATCCCGACATGGTGCGGCAAGGCACAAGCGTAGATACCAGATCAAAATAAGGAGAGACGAACTATATAAGTGCACTAAGAAAAGGTAAAATGACGATGATTTTCTATTGTCTGACATATATATCTCTCATATATTCTATTACGTGAGGAGTGACCATGACGTAGCATCACTCTGCAATCGTTTGCTTAGGTTGTACTTTTGTTAAAATTGCCAATTATTATAATTTGCTCATCAGAGATGAATAGGCTAAGCATGTGGCTCACTTTGTAACGCGATTTTTGAATTACTGAAAAAAGATACGTAAATACTAGACCTGAGAGGCTCAGAAATGCTGAGAACTGTGGATAAAGAGAATTCATAGGATGAGAAGATATTTACCAAAAATTGACTTTCACGATTTGTACATAAAATGCAATGTAGAAAATCAGTAAATTTTTGTTTTTGCGGAATTGTCGGGAAAATCGAGAAAAAAAATTGTCGGAAATGTCGGGAGGCGCTTAACAAGGTCAGCCGCTCTAGGGAATTGTTATTTGTTGCGATGTACTCCCCACGAAAAAAAGCTTCATCAAACAGAGTTTAATGAATTTTGCGGTAGAGAAAAACATGGCATCAATGAAACAATATTAAATGTCCGGAATATCACTATAGAAATTGCATGCAAATTTCTAATGTTTCCGAGTTAAAAAAGAAAGCGTTTCGAATTTTACGTCTGGTACCGCAGTTAGGCATCATTGGCAAGAAATCGAGCGCGTCTACGTTTACTTTTCAACCTAGACCATCTCGCACGTCCGTAGGTTTAATAGGCAAACACATTACCATTGCACCTCAATAATCATCAGATTTCGTACGCCTCAGCTACTGCCCATGTTTGGATCCCCAAATGCCTTTGACGACCAAGTTTTCATCACAGAAAACCAAGTCAGGGCGCTCATTTTTCTTGAATGAACATTTTTTGATGAACAATTTATTTTTTGATTGTGTCATGCATCGGAAAACCACCAAGCCTAGTTTCCGTGTTAGCGTCCCAAACTCTAATTTTGATTAACGTAATACTATTCAGGACGAGGCGTGCTCGCGTTGCGGATCACCATTCGCGCAAATGGAAGCTTGATCAGGATATTTGTACAGGACAAAGGCCACAACTACTCGCTATGAGTACGACCAAATTTCGCGTCACATCGATTTCACCTTTAAAAGTAGTTGGGCTGCCTAAGCAATATTCTGCAAATCTTAGCCATATATCATCAATGTTTTACATTATGTTTAACCACAGAATTAAGTAACAGACAATGTACTTTACAACTGGTGCTTTCCACGACTCATGCATAATGTCAGATCGGTATTCTCTAAGGTCTCTAACAGGCTGTACCACGGTTAAGGGCCGTTTTTTATGTTCTTTTGCCTTTTTCATCTTGCCATTGTTTACTTCGACATAGTATTCAAGAGTATTCCCTCTTCTTTATAGAGCTGTTGCAATTTAATTGTGCATTGAATGGAAATCGATGTTGAATTCAGGCTCCGAGTAATAGATGAAAAATAGTGCAGTTTTGATACTTCGTTTACTTTGCCTTTTGCCGACATTAAAAGCGGACGAGGCGGCGTGGGATGTCTGTGCTATGCGCAGTAGGTCCCCATAATTGAGAGAGAACTGTTTAAAATCCGCTACTAAGCTTAACAAAAAGCCGAAAACTGCCGTCTTGGATCCCGAAAGTCTACCCCAACCACCCGAAGTTCATGAGAACGTTAGATGATAAACAGCCGATGACTAGCCGAGAAGGTAAGCTGAAAACACTGACTGTTGCCGTACTTCTTGAATTTATGAATTTTTTATCGACAATTATGAACCTGGAAATGCCATAGACTGGGTGAAGCGCACAAGAAGATACGGACTCTGATTAGCATCTTGCCTGATCTTCATTTCGAAAAGGTTCCGGTTTACTGGGATGTTTAATGGGACTGGAAAAGCATCATGCTTGCTACTTAGTTAATGTTAGAAAGGAACAAGATGGTCAACGAGGATCTGTACATGGGCCGACTGCATCGAGTAGACGAAGTTATGCGATAGAAAATATCTAATACACAGGCCAAAGTCGTCTGCTTCTGTGTCACAATGCCAGGCTGCTTATAGCGAATGTCGTAAAAGCCGCTTGTAAAAACTTAGAAGGGGCCTGTTCTGTACCTACCAGAGTTCGCACCTACGGATTTTCTGGAAACTAAAATTAATAACGGCAAAATTTGAGGGTGAAAATGATTTTGAAACCCGAGTGAACCAGTTTTCACTGTTGGACCCGAAAATCTCTGACGAGAAGGAATAAATAAATTGGTTAAAGGATCGAAGAGGATCGTGAATGGCGACAATCAAGACATAATAAATAAATAAATAAATTTCGAAATAAAAACAAGAACAAAAAAAAGTTCGAAATTAAAAAAAAAACTGCACTTTTGCCTCGTGAGAAACGGCCCTTACTCATGTTACGACCTAATACGTTTGAGAACATGATGAGACAACTATTGGAAAATAAAAATCTAACAGTATTCATTTAAAAAGCTGCTTAACATTAATTATGTAAAATACTGCACAGCTAACTGTGCATACAAGTGCACTCTATGAGGCAGCTTCGCGGTTCGAGACTTCGTCACCGGAGCCAATCGGCGATTTTGAGTACCCAACATCACCGCTCATGGTCCGCAAGAGTGTAGACCTCTCTTCAACTTTGGAAATTAGCATTGAAGATGACAGCGATGGACAACAGGATAAACAAGCATTTTTGGGTAAGTGCAAGGACGAGTCCATAGAATTAGAGGATCCACTGAAGCAGTCGCCGCATAGGAAATTCCCTTTAAGGTCCCTCCGCGTCAAAGCTAAAACAGACGCCAATTCACAGAATGTAAGTATGACTATTATAACAATAAAGATAACTGTACGAAGGGAAATCCTAAGGCGTTTCTCATTGAATGTCGGATGGGATTTTTAATTTTTTTTAAATTCACCAAATGAATAATCAAACATCAAGCAGTCATCAGGCAGCCAATTACTAGTAGGCTAGTCTAATTGTCGAAGGCAAAATATAACCTAGAGAAGTTAATTTATTTAAGAACTTTAATTTTCTAAATAGACCGTAATCAATTATGTGCATGTTTATCCTGAGCACAGCATTGATACTTCATTTAGGTTTTGAAGTCAATCCCTTCATGTGCTTAACATTAAATTTGTTCGACGAGCATAGCGTTCATGATAGAAGTATACGTTTTTCATTAAACTGAATAATTTGGTAGGAGAGCGGGTTCGGCTGGCTGGAGTCGCCTGACGGCGTTTCAGAGGATGAAAATCCGCAACGAGGGTTTCAAGTGGAGGATAACGTTGGCGATGCTCTATTAGCATTACCCGAATGTCCAGTAAATATAGCAAAAATGCTTCCGTTAGCTAAAGGACATTGTAAAGATGAAGACATCACTAAGTCTCAGCGTTCTTCATTTTTCGTAAGTATAGCTTGTAGGTCGCTGCGCCTATGATAGACGTAAATCCAAAATCGTATCGAGTAGATTTTTAAGCCATACAGAGGAGTTTGAAGTAACGCTACTTGGCTCCATAGCTTCAGAAACTCGGCCCCTCTAAGCGACTGCGGTGATAACCTGAAAGTCGTTTAAATAATTATCTCTTATAGTTGATCTAAAGCATATTTCTTATGAAAGCTTAACGCTGCGCCTAAGCTAGAAACGATGAATTCATTTGGCCAGCCTCGAACTAAAGCTATTAGTTATTCAAGTTACTTAATTTTACTTTAATTAAAGTTACTTTAATTTTATCTAATGTGAATATACATTTTTATGCTGGAAATACATGAAAGCATAGTATGTTTACGTTGCATAGGCCGGTGCTTTCGCGATTCTTATCCTTTAAGTTAGATCGTATAATATATAATAATATATAATTAATAATCGTATAATAAGTCAAAACATAATGCATATCTTGGAAGTTTTGGGATGGCGGATGTTTACATTTTACCACACGTACAATATAAAAAAGAATCCACAAACATTGTTAACTCGTGCGCCGCTCCGATTTCACAAACTAATTAAAAAATATTTTTTGCGCAGGAAAGGAAACGACTTGAACTAATCGCTTCCCCTATGGAAAACGTGTGTGTAACGTCGAACGGACATAGAGAAACTGAGCACGAAATGGGCAATCAGGAAACTGCTGTCTCTGTACAAACGCTGCCAAGCGTGACAGACGAGTATGACGATGACAGTCCAGCCACACCTGGCTGTGAAGGCCTTTCATTGCTATGCCCTTCTGATGTTGGGATTCAGAACAATGTCATCAATTCTAGCGATGAATCATGTCTGGCAGTGACGAAGGACGGCACGAAGCTACAAGGCTCCCAAGTCGAGCGGGAAAAACATCCTGGAATTAATAATCAGCGAATAGACATCCGACCTGCCTATTGTCAGCCTGATTCCATTGTTGTGGATACAATGCAGGTTCTATATGATTTAGTGCAGGAGGTCACCCTATGTATTTCTAGCACCGAAATTGAGAAGGGCAGCGCATCTGAGCATGCCAAGAAGACATGTCTTATTATTGTTAATTCCCCAAAGACTCCTGTAATTGAAAGTACTAATAGATACGATCTTGCATTAGAGGATGATGTTAACTTCGATTGTCGAAGCAAGGCGCTTCATTTGGAATCCTCCCGCTTGGACGATTCCACATCTGATGCTGGAGACGTGAATAGATCGAACAGTCACTTATTTCTGGATCGTAAAAATTTGGCTGTAGATGAGGGTTCGGGCGACCTATCGCTCGAGCGGACCATCTCTATATCGTCTGGATCAGACACATCGTCATCATTCTTTGACGAAGATGAGCACGAAGTAGATCCTGACGGGCCGCTTTGGCGTCAGAACTTTCTTGGGCAGTGTGTGCTTCTAGTAGAAAAGAGGTTCCAAAAAGCCTATGCCAATACATGTATTAAACCACTTTGTGCACAGTTCAATAATGTCTATGAAGTCACGTGAGTATATAAGCTCCAGCAAAACAAGAAGATCATTTCATTCATTATCATCATCAAGAACAGGTCATTTCAGGAGCCAGCAGCCCTGTTAAATACATTATTATTATTATTATTATATCTTCCAATTTATGTTGGCTCGTGTTATGTGATACTATTCGTGTTTTCGCATACTGATAATCAGAATATGATTAAATGTACGTTATTATAAAATCGTATACTTTTTTTTTGTAGTAATGACGCTGATCGACTGCCTACATCGGAATTGGATATTCACCAGAATATTATGGTCATGAGCGACAGCCAAGTTACACACCGTCACCCATTTACCCAGCAGGAGACTAAGCAATTGGTCTGCAATTTCATCAATATGGCGACGGCGTTCCGTATGAGATTTCCGTATCTTCTTGCCGGGATCCAGACGGGACTGGAGACAAAAAAAGATATCTTTGTTTTTTCTGAATTTAAAGATGAACATCGAGTCTTTGCCAAACTTTGTTTTGGACTTGCCAAAAGGTTAGTTCAAGGTTACATAGATAATCTATATGCCAGTGCCCATATATTTTCCTTACGTTCAATCACATTCGCTCAGCGTTTCTACTCAGTTAATTGATAATAAACGCTAGTATACATATTAGTATGCTAGTTAGAATATATTCCCCTTAAAACCTATTAGATGATATGGAACCCTATAAAACCTTTTGTGTAGTTTGGTCGCCATATTTTTTTATTGTATAGTTGATTTAAGAATGCAAGAACTAGGCTAGTTAGAGTAAGTTGTTTGAAAAAGCAATGATCGACGTAATATCGGTATTATTGATGTTATTTCAGTACCCTTTATCTACTATAGTATGCTATTTTCGTAACCTTCTGGAAGGGTCGACCAGTATTATTAGCGACGTCAAATTTTCTGATTGTTCTAAACTCAGGCGTGTTCTGGAATGTATTACTCAGCTTCGACTTGTGCTGGAGTCTGATCTAGTTACCGATGACGCTAGAGAGCTCGAACTATTAGTTAATAGACTGTTCACCGGGTTTGGACCAGAATGGCCGACAATCGCTCGTATAACAGGAATTAGTCAGACGGCAATAAAGGACATTTTGATTCAAACGAACAATATGAGTAAGTATTGTTTTTTTGTACTTGTATACTATAACCGTCGAAAACAATCGCCAACCTTTATTTTCTATAACAAATTATGTCCTATCCAAAACACAAAGATTTACTTAGTTGGGAAACAATGCATAGTAAGTGGAACGCATAAGTAATAGCATAGGTTATCTGGTTCTCAGTGATTCTGATCTATAAACATCGCAGGAAAAATAAATGAAATGGCATCGTAGGGGTTGGCATTAGTGTTCCGCAAAATCGTACATGCTATTTGAAGTTTAGCTTCTCGCTATACTTCTTTCACTAAGGCCATCGTTTAAAACATCGGAGTTCTGACTGACAGAACTGTTAGGCCCTACGAGTTAATGCCGTGTGAAAGAGCACCTAGTTGAATTGAATGAAAGCAAGATACCGCAAAAGAACATACAGGGCAAAGTTCATGAGGATTTACAGAAGGAAATAAATAAAAAGGACCATAAAAGACGTAGCGGAAACACGTGTACTATGGTTACGAATGATCGGATACTCTATTAAAAATGTAATTTTTTGTCATCATTGTTATATGCTTGCTATAAGCTTGTTAAAAGATCCGCTTCGGCCATGTTCGCCTGTGGTGTCGACCTCTCTCAGTAAAATCCGTCGATAATTTTTTTGTCGCTTCGTACAGCTGTGTTTAGTTACAATAAGCAAACGAATAGGGTCAGGCCATCTGTCAACGCCGATAACCAATAGAAGTGCTCAAATGCTATATGAGACATTATGTTTTTTTGTTATTTCGCAGACATTCGCGAACCGACTCCATGGTTTGTCGTGCACGAATGTTTGTTGAAGGAAAAGAGATTCGTTCCTCGTCCCAGTCGTCATAGTCCATTGCCAGAGATCCCTCGGCAACCACAGTCATTCAGTCTGCACACAACGATGTCCTGTCTCAGTAAAAGTACTCTGCGCAACTCTAATAAGACACGGAGCAATGTAAACAATCGTAGCGTTCCAATACAACAGCTATGCGGTATGTCTAAGTTACGAGACGTTTGTATTGCCAAGCATAAACGGACCACTAATTGCTTACACCAGGGTATGAAAACGAACGAGAAACAACCGTCTCGAGCTCCGTTACTTCAAGCTATGGACAGAAACAGAAAAAAAGCAGAACAGGACGTGCTAACAGGACCATCTGATCAGAACTTGAACGCCAATCAAAATACTGCAACGGGCATTTTAGTGAACGCTACACCGCGTCCTAAGGACCATCTAAACTGCGAAATGGACACACAGAAACAAACAATCTTAACGGGTGCTTGCAAATCAGAACCTACATCAATCTCTGATCAAGTCATCGTGCGGGAGCTAGTTCTGCCGGTTACGGAGATAAAACCTGTCCCACTTCAGACCGATTCCACTTTGGCTCAGCGGTCTGTTTCTCGACTGAAACATTTATTAGAAAATAATAAAATTTCTACCACGGTGCCCTCATCTTCAAGACCTCCTGTGGCAAAACAGTTGGGTACACCTATGGGTTTTACGAAAGAATCTCATCATCTGTCCGTAGCAGTTATGTCGCACGCTGTATCTTCTCCCGTTCAACAAGAGTTATCGGTGCCAGTGGTTCTATTGAAGTCACCCAAGCGGTTGGGAAAAAGATCTCATCAAATTGCGGAATTAGACGGTACACCTGCTCGAGAGGAACCTACGCGCAAAGTTCGCAGGATATCCTTATGGAGAGACGAGACGGCTGGCTTCTCCAATGACAACGAGAACGTTAGTTTGTCGAGGCCAAATCAATTTGTCGCTTGAAACTTACAGTCGGCTCAATGTTGGCCCCAAAGCGGTCAGCGATGAAAATCAAGGACATCCAACAAAAGCCAGTCTCCTCTCGGCGACTTTATTACGGTAGTAATTCCCGGGTGAGGCAAATCGCTTTATGGCCATAGATGCACGTGGAAGAGCATGTTAAGAGGAAACTACCATTAGAACTGAAGAACGCGTAGCGGGCAAGTCTTAACCTTTTGATTTGGAGGGGTTTTACTCCAGAAAGAAGTGAATACACGTGAAACAAGTAACATGGTTTGAGCTGCTGACGAATTCGATACGAGCTTATCTAGGCCGTAAGTTTGTGGGCACGTTGCCTACTTTTATTTTCTATTTATATTGAATGATATTGTCTTTTCGCAATTTGGGCGTAGGTATTATCAACCTGAGATCAAGTTTGTTTTTAAGAGTTATGTTTCGTCTTAAAAAAGGTAAATACTATTGAGTTTGCCATGTTTATATTGTGTCGCGCGCTTATCAACTTATTTACTGTTTTGGTCCGTTGAAAATTTTCCAGTGATAAAATACCCCACAACGAAAGCAATAAACAAACAATAAAGAAAAAGATGAGAGAATAGGTGAGTTTTTAAAAAATCCCTCTGAGTAAAAGACGTCTCAGCATTTACGCAAAAGTTTCAACAGGTTAATGGTTTGACCCTTGTTCCTTCTTTAGGACGAGCGGTTGGAATCCCTTCAATAGGCATCTTATATGACAGTCTTCGGTTATGCTAGTTCGTGCAAACTGTGCATGCGTGTACCTTCTAGACGTTAACTTCCGCTAAAGCTTTTTCCAACTTATTTCATATGTCATCTAGTTCCATTCTATCAGAACAAATATTGTCAAAGACTAAGCCTACTTTAGAGCAGATCGCTCAGTACTAGCTAATTGAATTGCCTAAAATGAGCTTCGCGGATGCAGGAAGGCCTTTCCTTGCATTCGAGCATCCGAAAAAGCTTACTCTTTTTAAGATTAAAAAATAGAAAAGGCCATGGGTATTGTAACACGACCGCTCTCAACGACATGGCTTTCAAATAACTTCCATAAAGCGGAAGTTTTTTGGTATATTCGCTGAATGTGCCTAGTAGGATCTCGGAAAAGATATTTTCCTTCCGTGTGAATACGTGTGCTTTCCCCACACCGCAAGTCAACTTCCTGGGCATGTTTAGACGATTTGACGGACAGAGTTGGTACACGTGGTCGACCTGTAATTGCATATGGGAAGATGTCCGCACGATGGCACAGCGGTGAAATGTTTACCTACTGAACTTAAAAACAGGTGAAGCGGTTTAGATTTGAGACAGACGGAACCGCGCGTGCTGAAAGATACTAGATGTCTAGTGCAGCGGTTAACGCGGAACGTTGAACATGTTTTTGTTAGATGTAAAAACGTGTGTTAGTAAAAGCGACGTGTTAATTAATCTTCGACAATACAATAACGTTAAAAAAGAATGAAAATAGGATATTCAAGAATAATAATTGAAGATACTAGCTAACTTTTTGTCAAAAATTACGTCCTATAATAATTCAAAGACAACATTCTATTTGGGGACAATTGATGATATAGTGAATAGCTGCTGGACTCGTCTCAGACATGAGCGATGCCCAAAAAGCAATTTAAAAAATCAATACCTCTGCTTTTAAGAAACAGTAATTATTCTCGGCAGTTCCAAGTGGACTATTAGAAAGCATTCATTGGTTTCAGACATGGGCTCCTTCGGTAGAGTTCCGTCTAAATGGACATGCTCATGTTCCCTGACAATCTAAAAAAACATTCGTTAGGTTACTTGTAATAGAGACACGAGTGTTTTACTGCACAGAGCAACTACTTGATCTGTTTGTAGGAAGTTAATTAACAACTCTACGGCGTTTTTATATGCGTACAGTCAATAATGATTATAGGCACGTGCGTAGCCTTCAACTAAACTTCGAGAAAAAATATAGCTTCTCTATAGCCCAGTCAATCGAGAATTATCAAAAACATTATGCTAACTTAAGTTTAAGTAATTTTATATTTTCAATTCGGCTTATCAAAATGGTCGTTCTTTTGTATCGCTCAAATAGCTTTTCTCCTTTATAAGTTTCTAAGCACCAGTCTCCGTATGTTAGATGCTCAAATGGTTCCTAGAATGCGACTCTAACATGCAATGTACTATTGGGGTTGGTACTTTTAAGCGGGTTCCCAAATCTACAAACGTCGTAAGATCTTAGGCATAATCTAATTTATAAATTCTGAAGAAGGACCTTGTTAAGCTGAGAGCAAGCAGTTTTTTCCTGGAAGACGCTAATGGTGGAAATGCTTTAGTGTCATTTAGACAGGTAGTGTCTGACTCCTAGTCTACAGCATGGCATAGCTTTTTAACGCCCGAATTGGTTACCCACTGAAGACCGCTCCTGTCCGGAGAAATTGCGCATGTATAAAGTGTTAGCTGACTGTAGTCTCAGTCAACCGAAAAAGCCGAAGCCGACCATCTGCGTCCACTGCTCCCTAAAGAAAAGTAGCGGGGACAGAAGACAAAACAGGGATCTCGTCCTGGGTTCCCTCCTTTTAAGAATATCATCTATAAACCGACGTACCATAATCCAGTTTTCCCTAGAATCTAACATCGTGAATGAACCATATCAGCATTCAAGCGTTGTATGGCTACTTCTTTCTGTTTTTTTGACTTTGGATGGGGACTTTTGCATGTTCGAAATGGTGCGAAGTTACAACATACGAATAGCTGGTTATTCTTACTGCACCTATAGCTCAAGAGAAACTGTTTTACGCTTGATTTATTGGGTTGTATTTTTCTACCATAGAGAATTCTATTGCATAGCCACGCGTCACATTACTTCTTCTGCCAATAATTAATTCAAATAGTGTGACTATATGGCCATTGAGGTCGAAGTTGGTGTTTGGATTAATCCAACATTATAAAACAGCTCTTGCTTGTAAAAACATGTGGGTTCAACTGCGAGACGGTACAGTTGGCCAAAACGTGTTTGACTCGTCAGGAGACTTCATCAGATTTTCTCAGCTATGACCTTAAGGCGTCCCTGCGATTGCTGAAACCCCTGAAGTATCAGATGTAATTGAGGTGTGAATTCGCTGTAAACAGGACCAACAAGTCAACCGCAGGTCATTCCAACAAGATCATTTTCGATCGGAGCGTTTCCCATAAAATGGCTACCAATAGAATGTATTAAACGAAAGAAGTGTTGCTGCTCAACAAGTATCCATTTGAATAATTTATTTTTTGCCGGGACTGAAATCTCTCTTCACTGTTTCAGTGTCATCTTTGGAGCTCAACTTAATAAATCATGAATTACACTGGTGTATATTTAAGGACATAAAATACAAATATAAAACAAACTGATATTAAGGGCCCAATACGGTTCTCAGATTGTTGCCCGTAGCTAGGAAACTAAATCCAGATTTAGAATTAAACAGTAACGCAACGTCTAAGCAAGTCTTTCTTTTTAATATAATAATAAATCGCAATACGTATGTTCGACTATTTGAATGTACAAGGTAGCCACACGAAACAGATTCTCTTTAACTAGAAATACGTGCTTTTATTCAGGCTTCTTTCTGTACCTACCGACAAGAGCCGCACCGTAGGTCAGGGAGGTGAACACCTGGAAAATTCGCTTCGTCGTTAAATCGCCGAGGAACTTAGTGCTCTTGCCCGGACGCATTAACTGAAGAGACGCAACAATATCCATTGCGTGAGCAGGACATGGATTGGAAGTATTTAGCATCACAGTTGTTTTTTACATATCACATAAAAAATAACAAACTCTCTTTGATCCTATAATTTTTAAAAAGTTTATTGTAATACATAAGCTATCAGGATAATTCCCCTTAATAGATTTGTTCCGTAATTAGTAGGGGTCAGCCGAGTGCAACGTTACACGTATCCGATATTGCAACAATCACATCCCTAAGCCCTTAACGTTCTTGGCTAGACACGTTAGTGGTTAACTTCTCGTTTTGGTCCCTGTTTTCTAGCACAATATTCCTGACCATAGGATCTCAAACTGTTTCAAACGAAGCTAATGTTTTCGGGTAAAAAACGCTTGACTAGGCGGTACCTTCGTATAGAGTTTGATGCGTCATTGTTTTGCTTAGGTGTGGGCACACAGGATCACAATGTACGTCTGGCTCTCCACCAAGACCTTCAAACCTCGTCGGCGTAATCGGTCTAGTAACCCGCTAGGGAAGGCAAGCAGGCGCATAAGTAAATCAGTTCCGCTATCGAAGCTCGAAGTTAGTGTGGCGTGATCCGTATTTGGACCCCGGGTCGCGTATGTAGCTAAACTTCAATGAAAGCAATCGAAGTTGCATGCGCATTTGCCAATACACCGCTATAATGCGGTCGAGTACATTCACAAGCCATGATGCTGCCCGGGTACTTCAACGTAATTTGCTCACGAAGCATGAAGCCATAATAATGCCAACGCAATAAACTTCGAACTGTAAAAACTGTAGACGACTTGGGCTCTGCACAAACTTCCTCAGCAAGAAAAACCAATAGCTAATTTTATTGACCGTTACTGATACGCAGGCCACAGATCGTATGCCTACCTAGAACGAAATGTGTCCTCTGAATAAGGAAGCTATTACGTGCGATCAGTAGCTCTAATGTGGACAGCATTTTTGGAGAGAACTATGCCGCGACATGATCCGTCCAACGGCAAATTAACTTTAGATTGAGTCATTTTGACAGCTTATACATATATATAAAACATTAAATTATTCAATGTATAGAACTTTTTGACCATTTTGATTCGTATGCGACTAATTTAAACAGACGCAACAGTAAAATGACCAAAGCATCTATCTAAAGAAGAGTTTATATCAACTAGTTTCTCTCTCGCGATTCGTTCGATCTACGCCTACCTATGATTACCCGTAACCTCTGTATTTTTGCTTGATATAGATTTGTTTATATAAATGTAGTAATATGTTTTTTACGTTTGTCAACGAGTTGTCCATCGGCAAAACACTACAATTATGCTGCTATGCGCTTCATTCGTTTACCGTTAGCTTTGAGAGGGTTTTATTTTCATTGATGACGTTCGATGCAGGAACTGCACTATTATATTTATATATAAAACGCGTAGAAAAGTTTCGTACTTCGAGTACAAGAACGGCTTTCATGATTTCTCAGAATTGATTTTTCCCCTTTCTCATATTCGTAGAAACTGGCCAAAAAAAAAACCAAGTGTAAAATTTCCTTACAAAAATCTCTAGATCTATGATTTAGGAGGACAGGCGATATGGAAATGGGTGATATGGTTGTTCGAACGAAATGTATTATTCATTTCTACAAGCAAAACGGTCTGGCAAACCGTTACTATTTGAGATCATTATTGCTTGATAGTTGTGCGAAAGTGAACCTTGATGAGGTTTTGGGGGAAATATCTGCGAGTTACCAACACTAGGATATCTCTCGCTGGGTCGCCTGAAAGCTTAAGAAATTACACGGTAGAAAATCTTCGCTTGTATATCTTTGTGGAAGTTGTCGCTAGTGGTCAGCCTACGTTTTTGAACCTTAAACGCGAGGTTGTTTTTTTGTCGATTTGTTTGATTGATTATCCCGGATCGATATACGAAAGCTTTATTAGCACATCGATATAACAGTACCATTTGCAGACCCCTAGTAAAGGGAATCTACTATATTGTAAAACTATCATATTTTCAAAAAGCAAAATTGTTTTTTGTTCAGCTATTCTAAACCTAATCAAGTTCTCTTGTGTGATATTTCCGGTAGCATGTCTATTGGCTGTTGAAACCTAACATGACTGAACAAATGGAAGTCAAAAGGTAAGCGGATCATTCACTAATACCTAGGCGTTAACATAACAGACTGGTCATCATATAAATTATAAAGCACGGTCTACCTGTGCAGAGACTGCCAAATATTCTACGAAGGCATCCTGAATTCATCGACCGACTTAAGCAACGTGAAAACTTGAGTTCAACAAGAAGTTGTCCTTCATTACTTCATTATCAGTGTAGCATAGAGAAGAAAAAAAGTAATACACGATTAGTCTATAGATAAAGTGATGGAGTAAATACTCGTTTCGATGTCCGTCGTTTCATAGAATTTAATTAATGATATTCTATTTTTCAGCTTATAATAACATGAGGTGACTAACCGCAACTAGCGAGGGTAGTCACCGACAGTCGCAGCCCAGGACGCGCTAAATTATGATTTACTATATGTTATATATGTTCTCTCGAATGAGCAAAATCTCTTACTGTAATAGTTTATTCGACCATAGAAATTGCTGCCCGTTTAAAAAATTCAAGTTTAAAGTTCGGGCACAGCGACCATCCAAAGGGACTACCAGGTTGTATGCAGCCTCAAACAAGAGGGATAACTTGAGACAAGCTTGAATTTGCTTGGCATTGATCACCAATCGATTCAAAGACGCTAGCTAATAGTCTGCAGCAAAACTTTGAAGGCAACGGCATATGAGCACTGAATAAATGGCACGCCTAAAAACAATATATTAAACCAAGTGTTCTAAAACCGTCGGCTTGCCATGAAGGTCTGGGCATGTGACATTTAGTACAAAATACATATGCTATATTAAAGGCACTGAGATCTGTACTAAGAATGCTAACAAATTTACTATTCTAAGAAATACGACCAGCTGCAGGGTATTAAGGAAATGATTAAAATAGTACAGTCGTCTATTGGGGCAAAAAAAATTTGCGACGTATCGATATATCGTTCCGCACACACTCGACCTCGCACTGGCAAAGTTCAATTATACCGATACTTAGCTTTTGATAGAGAGTTGTTGTTATTATAGCAAATATCTGAAGACCGCTATCTATTTGTCACCCTACAACTCCAGATCGAAAGACTAACATGAATCCTATACATTACTTAACTGCGATTGGCCCACTATTAAGCGTCTATTCTGTCACTAAGCCCATTTTAGACCTAACAGCTAAATTTTTCTCACGATGTTATACAGGACGTACCCATTCGATCATGCGTCCAGCGTAGACAGGAAACCAGATCGGCGCAAATAAAAGATGCGTTCAGGTCAACAGTTCTGCTTTTGGGACGGCTGCCTTTTGAGTATTTTTCTGTGATACCTCACGTAAGACCCAGAATTATTATACTGACAACGGACTTCTCCGTACAACTGTTCATCTTTAGACTCGGTTTCGTGAGTACAGAAACTTGTGCCATTGGTTAACGATGAAGAAAAACAATACACGTAATCCACACAACTCTTCTTCTCCATTTTGAATTGAGAAATGTGTAATTTAAACGGTCAGAACTTAGAATTTACCCTGCTGTAAAGTTTAGAATATATATGTAATTCCAGCATAAATGTTTTCTTGTAATAATCAATAATGTTTTATTTCTCACCTCTTGCGGTAAGGAGTAGGAGTTGCGAGTTGACGTTACTGTAAATGTTAGTAGTTTAATTATTTATTATATAATGAAGAACGTTTCCTATATTGTCATATGTACAGTTGTATCTTACATCTTTAGAGGATGCAGTTTTTTTTCCACTGTGAAGACAATGCCCCTACGCTGGCCAGGGCAATATCCTTCGAAAAACAGTTGGCATCTTAGAATGTAGTCAGTTACGCCAAATGCTCATTGTTGATATAGATCTGCGCTTTCGTTACATATCGGTTAATGAAATCGTCGCTACTCAATGCTATATATGTAGAACGGCTCAGCTGTAAATGCCATACACTTAGTCCCAATAATAAGGTCAGATTGGTCGTAAAAATATGCCCTGGTTCCTCCAGCTGTGTACTGATTTGGGCTTAGCCCAAGTAAGGGCTTCTAGTAAAATATTGTTCTGTTCAATGATTGATTCCAGATGCGAAATAACGCATGGCTAATGTTAAACGCGCATGCTCTCTCTATAGTTGTTAGCTGAACAAATCGAATCAGATTAGGCAAGAAATTCGGTTTTAGTCAACGGCAGGCAGTATCGACGACGTCTCTCTTGCCGTCTGGTGCATGATAGGGTCGAGGATCAGCAGGATGATCGTGTACAGTGTGATAGGAAATGCGAATGTGATAACTACTGCTTGGCGCGATAAGTCAAGAGACTCCCATAACTTGAGCGTTTTTGGGAAGCTCCGTTGCTGGTTGAGGTAACGAAGGACATTGGCATCCACTTGGCCTTGATAATGCCGATGTACCCAGAGTCGAACCCGTTCAGCCTCAACAGCTATGCCAAACGAGCACTCACATACGGCGAAGAAGCCTGCAGCTAGCATAACAGCATGGGCCCATGTTGTTATATGCGGTAGTGCATACGTTGTTTGGTGGTATCGGGCCATTGCAAGTCCCTCAGATACATTCCCAATAACAGCTGCCACCCAGAAACAACACAAGGGACTGAACAGGGCATCGGAGTAAGCGACTAACTTCGAAATTGTCGAATGGCGAACTAGTGAAGACTCGTGGGGTACTGGCTCTTCGATGATGGCACGCAACTCAAATTTGATCGCGGCTGCAATTAGCGCGTACAGAATCATTACGAATACTGTCGAACCAACGATGATGAGCGATTCGAAATTCCGGCAGAAATACAGGACAATGAAGGTATAGACAGTCCAGTTTTTCGAACCAGTTAACTGCACGTTACGATGCGAGTTGTTTACCTCGTAGAACCTCAGTGTCAGCATCGCCGTTACCGCCGTGATGCATGCGAGAACCACAACAATACATGTTTTTATATTTTTTGGCTGGCGGGCACTCAACGTCGTTAACAGAACGTAGAGTTTGCCCGTATAGCGATTGAGCGCGATATGATTGCTTAGGGCAGCTACGAGGTTGAGTACGGTGCTTGGCCAGAAGATGGTCACATTCGCTAGCGGCGTTATATATAAATAGTAAATGGAAATAATAAACATAACAATGTAGACGACGTACAAGAGACGAATTAATAACAGCCATGTTCTCGATACGAACGCTTGAATCGACAAAAATGTACATTCGGATCGATCATCGCCGGGGATGTTTAGTCCACCGCCACCTGAAATCTGCACTAATGCAAGCGTTGTTTGGAACTCTGGCAGCAATGATGGAATACCCTTATTTATATTTTGCGTAGATACTTCATCTATATTTGGGGTGACCGGGTAGACCGGAGAAGTTGGCGAAATTTCGTTGCTGGCTGCGGGAATCGTCAGCGTGAGCGTAAGTCTGTCTGGATCCCCTTTTCGGAGACGTCGTTTCTTCGATGAGGGTCTTCGCCTTTGCGGGGTACGAGGTTCGGATGTTTTCGTGATATCAGGTGAACCTGGTGGCGATGGAATTGAAGCCTGAGATACGTTTTGTGAGATCTCCTCTGTTTCGCTGACTTCAATCTTAGTTTCAAGAGGATGTTCCCTGCGATACGGTAACAAAATTGATTGGTATTATAACCAGTCTGAGGGGCTAAGTCTAAATTGTAAATAATACCATGTCACAAATCGTGAACCTTAATTTACTAAAAAAAAATCTCAAAATCCTTACCTTCTCCTATTAATATTTGCCTGTTTCGACTGCTTTTACGTTGTCCGACTTCAATAATGCAATGAGGGACTAGTAAAATGTCGCGTTTTACAATAACATAATTATATCTACATCAGTTCTATTTATTTTATTCATGTTTTTTTTTCATGAAAATTTCTAGTTCAAATCATACGTTTTCTATTCATAAAGAGGGTAAAATCCTATACGCAAATATTGGAACGGTGAAAATTAGTCTCTGCTAAGCAAACTCTCTGTTATTTAAACGGAAAAAATAATTTTTCGATGAAAATGTTGACCACGACTTACATTTTCAATACTGAATCGACGTCTTACAAACACTCGAGCTTCTTGAGAACGCTCGTGCTCACACAGCTCGTGCGCAGGTTGTCATGTTTAATAGCTTGTATTCCACTGAAGCGTCACTTTGAACTTTAACTAATGTCCGCCACCGTGCACATACGTTAATCGGTGACTTTCCAAGACCTATGATTTCTTGACATCCTGTTGCTTACCAATTGGTGGCTTTCAAACCAACTAGCCGGCAGTGTTTCTTGGGGCGTACCGGCAACATCAATAGTACCAGAAAACACCACGAGCAGGCAGCAGGCGTCAGGCCACGGCACAACGACAAAGCGCCAGGCCCAAGTCAGTGTGCGTAGGCCCTTCCCTCCGCGAGCACAGGCAGAGGGTTTTTATCAGGCAGGCGTATTCTCTAGTCGAGCGACTCGGTTTTGTAGGTTTGTTCTGCCCTGCTGACATAGTTGACTTTCCTATAGCTTCTATCTCTTGCCCCTCGTGTGTCGAACGGGACGACTCACACGACAGATCGTCACCGCACTGCACTAGAAGCCGGCCTCGAAGACGTTATATTTAGAACGAACGTTGCTGTGTGGAATGGACTTTTTCTGTTGACGAGGTTCACTCATCATGCCCAAGCTATGCTTTCTTGCTTACTTCATCCACTCGCGGAAGGAAGAAAATCTGAGCGACGTTTAAGCTGGCTAGACGGGAGGCCAGTGTTTCTTTCGGAAACCAAAAGATCCATAAAAACTATTCTCTATTTGACGCTGTAGTAGCTACATAGATATGGAAAGAGTAACGCTTCGAGTGAATCTTCTATCTACAGTTCAAATGGCTAAACCGTAAGCATGCCGGTACGTAAGAAGAAATTGACAGAAGAATATGTCAATTTGCTGATTCGAAGCTAATATGTAGTTCAATGAAATGAATTAGCCTAATCGGGGCGGGCGAACGTGATTTTTAACAAGCCTTACCCAGTTATGCTAGCACTTCACTCAAAGTGGTGGCACGAAATGATCAAAACAGCCTTATTTGCTGAAAATAAAATGTCTCTTCTAGTCAGCCAATCGACAACTATTAATTGTGACCTGCAACGCTGCTTGTCAGCTATGGCAAGTCATTGACCCCAGGTAAATCGGTACGTTTCGATGGGTTAGGGCGTATGCCCACCAGCCACGCGAATTAGATGGGTTTCAAAACATTGTGAATTATGCACCCGAACCTAGAACTTTGCACTCAACCTTTTTGGCGTCAACTAGCGAATCAGCTGTCGTAGTAAGCTGCAGACCCGTTCCGAGTATTGCCCGTTCTGCTCGCCTAACACAGGACTCTTAGCTACCCTTCCAATGATAAAGGTCACCATACCGCGGACGCGACGAACCCGTTTAGACACGCAATAACCGTTCAGAGTGTTTAATAGAGTTTATATGTATTTGCATATATAGTTCCTGCCTAAAATCTATTTATCTTTGCTACTTTTAATAATCATGCGTGTACATTCATGCACATGTAGATGACAAGTCTAGGAAAGAAATCACAAATCTTGATAGCTTGCCTCTTCAGTCACGCACTTAAAAAAAACACTCTGAGTTCTGACAGAGGGGCTAAAAGTGACTGTATCTAAAGGATCGTCAAAGGAGCCTTTTGTCAAATACATCGAGGCATGGCAACAGGAATATGTGGCACACGAACTAGCAGATGCGATCAAAAGCAACCTACGAAATTTAAGGTTTAGACACTGTACAAGTATATTCGTAGCGGTTTCTGGATATATATATATATATATATATATGCAGGCTAGGTGCTATAGCCGTCTAATCGTTATTGAACGATTATTAAAACCATACTTACAGATATATTACAAGCTGATGGGAGTGTTGTTATACAAACTTCTAGAAAGCGTGGTTGTTCCCGAAAACTTTCCTTGCGCTTGTTTCCTTATAAGAACGGGGTGGATGCAGCCGAGTTTAACATGACAATTCAGTGTAATATAAACGACCACGAAGTCCGTAGATATTTACAAACTTAATATAAGGCTTATTGTTATTAATTGTACGAACTAAATAGGACCTGAGATGAAACGTGTCGGCCAAATGTTAGTACTTTTTCTAGTCAGCAACAAAGTATACGCGATAAAAGCTATTTCACGGCTGGTAATCATCTTTATTTGTTTTCTACTATTCTCTCTTTTAAAATATCTTAAAATATAATCTTAAAAAATACTGTTTGTTTAGTACAAAACTAATAGCTTGACCCTCTGTCAAAAGTAACTATTCTAAGAACGTTACCAACAACTATTTAACCCCTCATATGTAAAGCGTCCAATTGCATTTCTGGTTAATGCTGCATAGAAAAAAGACCGATTTCCTAAATCTTTATACCCCAATACATGTCGCTCGAAGTTAATCTCATAGGACTTTTGACGTATTCCTTAGCATAAATTCAGCTAAATTCAATCGGTTTTGCCTTTAACAGAACACCTATACTTCTCTCTACAGCGATTTCTGTCAGTGTGGCAGAGGCCCCTGCAAGTTCCCTGAATCGCTACTTACGCTAAAATTCAAAGTCTTGTATAAGGAAAGCAGAGCGCTTTTGAAATTTGTGCTGCTAAGGACTCATAAACAAACATTCCTCCACTAAGTCGTCCTATGCTCGGCCATACGATTACTTCGCAAAGATTGTTTTCTAATAGAATCAGTTACCTGAGCTCACTCTACGAGACATAATAGTTTGTTAGCAGAATCCACGATACCGATCCACCGCTGACAGAATTAGTTATTTGACATTTGGAAGATCACATAGGCAGGAGTGTCATTGGCAAGCCTCGATTGGAAGAGTTGCAGCGAGTGTTCTCGTAATCCGGTCCGAAACTCTCAGCGAGTCCATCCGTATCTTTTCATTAAACATATGTCTGGCTTAATGGATTTATGGCCGTTTAATTCTACTATGTTTGCCACATTTGCCACGAGATACTGAACTTTGTGTGATCTCTCAGTTGGCTACAGGCAGGCAGGCAGGCAGGCAAGAGGGGGCTGTTCAATACATACCGCGACAGCTTGAGCTATCGAGTGTTCAGATTTGCACCAAGCGTCTATCTAATGGCCTGTTCTGAGTATCTTTTGGTACATAGCTGCCCTATTCCTGCGTTACAAATGACTGGCTCCTTCAAGATCATTTGTCATTTTTTCGTCGATGCAAATTTGTGTTAAGACTAGATGTCGCTAAGTCAAATACTTACTATAGTATCAGTCGGCTGTTCTTTCTATAAAATTCCCATATTTTTGAAATCTTAACAAAAATAAAAAAAAAAAAAACAAGTGATTGTGTCGTTTTCTTCTAATTGAAAATTCATTACTTATTGTTGATTAAAACTTCGGTCAGTGTCGCTTTTGGACATCTAAGCAGCCTACATATTTTCCTAAACCCAGAAATAGATTTATTTTCAACAGCAGCTTTTTAGCCGCTATTTACGAGTTTAAGATTAAAGAAAAAAAAAATCTCAAAACGAAAGAATCAGATGTGAAAGTTTATTATTTTCTTCCCTGATCACTATACTTGATGACTGAGCTAGATTAATTATGTGTATTTAAGCTAGGGTCGTTTTGATAGGCACGTATTAAATCCTGCATGTAATTCTATTTGTTGGTAACACATGCCTGTGAAAAAGACCACCCTCTCCGAGGTTACGTGCACTAGCAGACGAAATACTAGATTCGGCCGTACAACCTTGGAAGTTCAGAATAGTTCGTCCTGAGCCAACGCTGTGCCCAGTAGCTAGTTGCATAAAAGGACTGTGACTCAGTCAGAAAACGATCATCCTGTCTTCTGAGTCAACTAAGCATACAAACTTGTCAATGCAATCATATTCACCTCAGTAGTTCGACGGTGCGCTATAATGCGCATGAATATATCCGGGCACGATCTTATGTTTTTATTTATAGGTCTATTTATTCTCATCAAGCGCCACCACACAATGTAATCATCTCAGTGCATAACTGGGTACTTCCGTTAGGTGTGTTAGAAAATTACCTGGATAATACGCTTTATATCATTTATAGATCAACATGTAAAACTATGTACAGATTTATTCCTAAATTACAGATAGGTCGAAAAACCCTTTTTGCAATCAATAAAATTAACCCTATATGACTTAGTTAGACTTTGCAGCTTTGCTCGTTGTAGTAAGGTGTTTGCTACATGAAGTTTATATGGGAAAAGTGCGCCGAATCACGTGTGCCTTTTGGTACATAGCCGCCCTATTCCTAGTTACTAGTTGCTAGGACTTGTGGCTACTGTAGCAGGCAGACCATAGAGTACGATGAGCTCTACACACACCTGAAGCTAAGTCGTATCATTACCATTCGTGAGAAGGATCGAGTTACCTCTTCTGAAACCAAAAAAAACGAAAAGCCAGACGGGTTACCCGATAATCTGTTCTTGCCATCCGTCTGTCACCTGGTGCCTTCTAGGCCACGATATCTATTAGTAAAGACACCCGATTATACTCGGGGAACATGTCACAGTGATTAACCCAAAGGCTTTTATGTACGTTCCTCCCTAAACCGTCGATCAGAACCACAGGAAGCCCTTTGAATAACAATGGCTGCTTCAGCTGTTTCCCAATTTCTCGCTGTCAGACGATGATACAGTCGCCAAAATTAAGAAATCAGAGTTAAAACTGCATGAAAGTTTCGGAGATGTATCATTTTCACATTGCGTACTAACGGTCAATACGCGAAACGTCTTCTACATTGTGTCAGTCAAACGCGACAGGCGCGTAACTGTTTTGATCATTGTTAGAAATTTCGTTGTCAATGAAATGATCGTTTGCTCTATTTTGGTTTTAGAATAAGCAGGAAATAATCGTTAGCCGATTGTTTGTAAATAGCGCATTACATGAAAAAACAAAAAAAAAATTAAAAACCAACACACAGCCAGGAGTGAAATTCGTTTATTAGATATGTATTTTTTGGCGATGTTTTGACAGTTGCCGAATTTCTGAAGCTTTATCTCGGTCGTAGATCCTAATTTCAACGTATGTGTTTTGTCCTTGTATTCCGCGTAGCGATCTGTGACTGTTTAAATTGTCGATTCATCTTCTGTCGATCAATCTTGCCAGGTCTGATCCCAGCCTTGTTGTTGTTGTTGTTATGTTTGTAATAGCGATAGGTCAGGCATTATTTCACACTTACTTCTTGGTAATTGGTCTACTTTCCGTAGCAGGGATTTCAACATGAGCTCTCTTTAGATCTAATTGATGCAGTGGCAGAATTGCGCACTTC